AGTTCTGCTGGAAAATTAACTGCTGGATGCTGAGGATTGTTTTGATTTTTTGATTGTTGGGCAGTTAGTTGAATTTTGCCTTTAATTTTCGGTAAAGGTTTGTGTTCTGTGCTTTGGTTCATGCTACCTACACCATAAATGTGTGCCACAGATAGGTATTGTTCTTCAGACAAGAACAGAGTTTGTATGGATGAAATCCTTAACTGAAATAGTTTTTAAAAGTAGGCTTTGTTAAAATCAGACTTCCCTTTATTAGAAAAACAAAACAATGAGAGGGAGAGCTTAGCCGCTTGAGTACAATCCTCAGCTCAAGGTATTGGCACATCTGAGTGCTGTCACTGTCACCCAGTTAAATGACCCAGGCACACGTCCCAACCTTGACCTGCTTCTGGAGCCAGACTGTAAATCAGGGGCCTGAAATCCTTTTATCTCTGGGGAGGCTTTTTCAAGGGTATTTGCACATTGCTGAGGAGGCACTTCTGCTGTGTTCACCTGTCAGTCAGGAACTAGATGCTTTTTTCACCTATTTCATGTATGAATCTCTTAAACAGACATCAGGTAATACCATTTTCTCATCCTAAGTTCAAGCCAGTCTCTGATAAGACAATTGTTCCCTGCGTTAGTGAACTCACAAATTTGTCTGTTCCTTGTCCTTTGCTCAGATAGCAGGGAGAGGATTGAGCTGATTAACTCAGTTTCCTTGGTCACCTCAGTTTTCTTTTACAGTCAGTGGAGGAAAACAGCACATCTAGGACAAGATGAATTGTGTACTAGGGTGTCATTTTCTCTCTGTTGACTACAAAAAGAGCAGAGAGCAAATAGCTCCGGTGTGCAAGTCTCAGGCTGGGTGAGAGCAGTCCTCCTGCATGTGTATGACCATCATATCAGCTGGGTACCATAACCTGGCAGTGTGGGCAGTGTGCTCCCAGAGAATCCCAGCACACAGCCCCTGTGTTAGCCCCCCCTGCTCCACCTCCCACACCTCTGCAGTAGCTGCAGCAGGAGACCCACTACTTATTGCACTGATTTTCACTTCTCTAGATACTTGTAAAATATTACAAACACTGCATATCTGTCACTTCAGTTATTTGTCATCACAAAAGATGTAGTGAGTACCGTGTTTTTTTTCACACGTTCTTTATTAATTTGTGCTCTGCCACTCTCTTTCTAAGTTTGATGTAGTTAAATGATACACACAAAGTACAAAATGTGCTTTATCTTTAGTTTTTTTGAGGACATCATGCAGATGCTTCTGTACATTACCTTTTTCACCAAATGGGCATTAATATAATAACTAAATACATTCATTTACATAAAATCCATATAGTATCAGTATTAGTGGAATTATCAGAATTAGTGGAATCAGTAAATTAGTGGAATTTTGGCTGTCAGGAATAGATTTTTGTCTCCAGCCAATGACTTGTGAGATACTTGTGAAAGTGTTACTGTAGTCCTGTAACCCATAGACGTTCCGATTCCTGAGGAGAGACAATATATTTTCAGTGACGGTTTGTGAGGTTACTGTACTCAGCATGGTGGTCTGATCTGCTCATACACCACCTACTATCACACTTTACAAAACAGTGTTTCAGAGTGTAGGTCTGATTGTTATCTGGTGTAAATTTGTTCTTTTGAAACCTGTGACCTTATGTCTGTTTATACCAGGTGAGAAACTGACCAAATACCACGGCGTGTCACTAGCCCAACAACTGAAAAAGCAAAACTTTTTTTTTCTGTTAAAAAAGCAGCCAAGGCAACCACCATCAGAAATGCAGAAAGTATGAAGTTAAACCTGAACTGGAGAGAAGAGGGGTGGGAAGTTAAGCTCTTGAATGTGAGGAAGGCAAAAACAACTCTAGTTTGTCCTGACTGATACAAGATTATCATCTTTGCATCTGGCACACTGTAAACATTCATTATGGATACTGATTTGATGATACATTTCACATGGGTGTGACTCAGCCTGCAAGTATGAGGATTTCTGTCTGTGTTGACCTTTCTAATATTTACATGAAAAAATGGGAGGTTGTGATGTGCAACACATGTTGAGAAATGCTTCTCTGTGTCCCATGCTTACATAATTGGTTGTGGCATCTCCTTGTGCTCCCAAACATCTGCTCTCACTATAGCTGTCCAGGATGTAGCTCCTTTTCTCTGCATTGTCAGGGTGACATCTTTGCACATGTAAATGCAGTGAAATTGAGGAGAGCAGGCATCTGGGTCCACCTCAGCCAAAAATTAATTTGCCCTCTTCCTTCTCAAAGTAAATCAATTCAATTTATCATGGGTCCCTTCCAGCTTGAGATATCTATGATGGTCACTTATTTTATTTTCTCAGACTTTGTACATAGCAAAATAAAAACACACTCACACACCCTTTTTGTCTGTAGTCATTGTCTCTCTGTTATGTTTTTATTTGCATACAGCTGACCAGAGTCACTTCACTTTTGCTGTCAAAATTTTCCTTTTCCAAATCTCATCTGTGATCTTTATATGTTTTAAGGTTCTTTTTCTTTTTAAAGCTTTGCTTAAATAGCTGTGTTAAAAGGTTGCCCAGAGAGATGTGGAATCTTATCCTCAGAGATAACACAGATTGGACTGGAGGCCGTCTGGAGTAGCCTGCTCAAATGGGTCCTGCTCTCAGCAGGTCCAGAGAGGCTCAACCAGAGACCTCCTGGGATGCCCCCCAACCTGAGGTATTCTGTGACTCTCTGCCAGTTATTTAAGCCTTAGGTAACTCACTGTACTCCTAATCTTTACCTTGGCCCTCAGATATTTAAGTCAAGACTAGAATCTAATGGCCACAGGCACTATTCAGCACTGCTAACCCAAGCATGGAAAAAATTGCCATAATTGACAGAGATTTTAAAATGCTGCATTTTTTCAGTGGCTTCCTTTTCAGACCTGAGAAGTCGAAGGAATTAAGATCTCTGAAAACATAACCAAACCTCCTCTGCAATTGCAGGAGCTAAGAGGCTCTAGTTTTAACCACCCCCTGAAAGCCGCCTGCCCAGTAATAAGACTTGCAGTACCTTTCCAATTGGGAGTTGATGCTTTATATAAACTCCTAAAAATCTGCTGGTTGTGTGAAATCTGTGGCTTGTCTTCTGTAGGATGTTGAACTGCATTCTCACACAGGTTTATTTTTTGCCTTTACATTTGTAAATATGCTACTTTGTAAACTGCTAGCAGCTTTTCAGATTGGTTAGCACTAAGAGAAACTGATTTCACTCATTAGAAAAATTTAGCAAAGTATTTATTTTTTTCTTAAAACTAACAAAATGGGCATCTCTTTTTTTTAGTAATCTATTAGATTTTCCACTTATACTCCGATCAGATAGAAGAGAGCTGAATGTCCCCAGGCTGCAGTTATCAGTCTTGAGAAGGTTATGTTTTGATAAAAGAAAAAAGGAAGAGGGTATACTTTGTAAAGGTGAATTGAAATTAACACAGTTGAATTTTTAACAGTTGTTATGCAAGAGCTGTAACTGAGTATCTGACAAAATAAACAAGTGTGCTCTACACAAATAAAGGAGGGAGCAAAAAAAATGACATAATATCAAATTCACTGCAATGAGTAAATGAAACGCACTTGTCAAAAGCATGTAAAGCATGTTGTACTGCATAGTTTCATTTCTCCAAGGGGAGCATGCTATGCACCTGCCCAAACAAAATGTGTGCCACATCCAGCACATATATTGGCAGAAGAATCAGTTGTTCCCTAACATATCTGTTCCTGGTAGGCTGTGGTTATTTTTAGTACAAAGGAAGAAAGTCTTGCTTCGCCATTATCTGAGAACAGACATAATGACAAAAAACTTTGATTTGAGCAACTTGGTCTAGTGAAAGGTGTCCCTGCCCATGGCAGGGAGGTTGGAATTAGATCATCTTTAAGGTCCCTTCCAAGCTGAACCATGTGAAATGTTCACCTGTTTGTGAGTTCTCAGCAGCTCACCAGGCTGGTGTAAAGGACCAAAAAACAATGTCACTATTGACTACTGAGAGACAAGACATAATACTCCATCTAGATAAGGAGGGAAGGAAAATGTCCTCATCCATAAAGACTGGGAAATAAAAGGTAGCCTAGTTTAGCACAGAAGGTGACATGGGTAGAATCCAAATCTTAATTTACTATATACATGTCAGACCTGACACAGAAATGTATCAAGCATTTGAAATTTGAACCACTATCTGGATATTTTATAACATTTACGTACAATAGATTATTAAGGGACAAAACATGGTTGGGGACATGCTTTAGGTGTTTATGTCATGTGTGCAGTGTACCTCAGGTATCTGTATAGGCAGTAATTATCAAGTATTATCAGCTTTCCTTTTTTTTTTTCCCCAAAGTAGTATTTTAGAACCATTTTCTCCCGCGGGTGTTGCTGGTGGCAAGAACAGCCTTTTTTTCATGGTCTGAAATTGGAGTCTGGCTGCAAGAACTCTTTATGTATGCAGGTATTGTTCCAAGTCTCACCCATGATTTCATTTTGTCTCTTTCCAATCAGAAAATGAAGAGTTTGGCCCAAAGACGCCAGTCTGCACCATCTTTGATCTTTGTCAAAGCACTTCACAGATCTCGATCAGTCTCAAGGTGAGTCAGAGAATTTTGCTGCCTGTATGGTTTTGCATTTCTCAGCCCCAGACATGAAATGTTTTTGAGCTACTGTCCATACCAGGTTTTCGACCAAAATTCAGGCTGCTCAGGGGCTGCACAGCTACAAAACCTGCTGAAAGATGTGATAGACCCAACCCAGATGTTGGCTGATGGCCTAGAGGGGTTTCCCCAGTGCTGCCACACTAAGCAGTTTATATCCAATCAGGCAAGCTGAGCTGTTCCCCAGTTTGCAACTGGACTTGAAACATTAGGGCTGCTCAGTTGTGATTGATTTGTGGCTGGCTATGATTGCTTGCTGGGGAGACAGCATGGGCAAAAGATGGTGAATGTTTCCTACACTTATGCAGTGCCAAGTGCTCCTCAGGAGTGGTTATTGTGGGATGGTACAATTCAATCTGAGGTGTCTGGCATGGCCTGCTATATGATACAGTCTCTCCAGGGCTCTGGAAGCATGTCTGGAAGGACAGTGCTGCGGGCCAGGATCTAGTGGTCACAACCTTCTCCCATCCAGCATTAGCAGCTTGTGGGGCTGAGTAAGTGGGTGTGTGCAGGTGTGAAGTGTTGAGTGTTTTTTGTCTTCCACTTCTGTCAGCTGTTCCTCCTCCCTCCCTACCTCAACTACAGCTACCATAGAAATAAGACTTTCTGCAGAGCTACTCTGCTGTCCAGCCCTAGCCCTGACCTGCTGTTTGAACCATTCTGCATACATAACTTTTTTCTTCCTGCACTACAGTTCATTAGACTTTAAACTTACAGAACTTAAGTGTTTATCAAGATATGAACCATCTGGTGGGCTGTTAATGCTCCCAGCACTGTAGAGCTCTTTATGAAGAAACATGGAGAGAAATTAAAGTATGGCTTTGTAAGGAATATTGTTTCCTACTCTGTGGTGCATTAAGTAATTAGTATGTGAGCTTTGGAAATTTTTTCGTGTTTGATCTAACTAATACCTGGTTTCATATTTGTCATCATGGAGAATTCCACAGTATTTCAGAAACCTGTGAAAGTGTTCAGTAAAAACATCAGAGTTGAAAAATAAGAAAGGAAAATGAGTTGAAACTACTTGCAGGTCTTTTTGCTGGCTATGACATGAAAGAGGAAACTTAGAAATTAATTTCTAAAGGTGTCTGCACCTTTTTGTGTAGTCTGGTGGCCTGAGCCTAGGACTGAGAGCCAGTGTGTTCTGGTTCTGTCTGCAAAATTTCTTCTGGTGCCTCTCTTGAATGTGTTTCCAGGTCCTTACCATAAGATGAATGTGTGTTTTGTAACCCCTTCATGAGAATACTGAAATTGTTCAGATTGTCTGTACTGCGGTATTTATTGTTCATTTGCTATTATTTCTTAATTGTATTTGTAGCTGTGTTCCTACTTGTGATACCTAATTGTGATACTTTTGGGCATAGATGACATGTTCACAACTAAGGATGTGAAATTAGAGTCTACTACTATGTGGAGCAGCAATAACTGGAGAGTACAGAGGACAAGAGGTGGGATCTCTCAGTCCTTGGACTTCAGAATTTCCTGCAGTTTATACATCTATGTCTCTGTGTCTTCCCTTCAGGCTGTATTGAGACTTGCTCTTTGATATTAAGAGAATGAACTATATTTGATGCTTATATTTATATCTTCTGTTGTTTGCCTGCTGGGGTTCAGATATGAAAGATTTTCTTAAATTCTTTTTTTGTTTTATTGGTTTTGTTTGGTTGGTTGTTTTGGTTTTGGTTTGGTTTATGGCCTGCACTGTAAGTATCAGAAACTGGACAGAGCTGGAGAGCCACTAAGTGGAATAATATTCAGCATGTACATTTTCACCTAAAATCTTTAAACTTTCTTAAGTGTAAATATGTCTTGCTTGTATAGCCTGGACTAGACCTGGTGTATGGAAAGGGTTTTTTTGTAAGGCCAGTTGGCAGAAACTTGGTGGCGAAGACCAAAGAGGGGAAAAGATTGCCTTGCTCCACAGTAAGGGCAGTGCTTTGCCTGCCTGGCAGACCCTGCCGCTTTCACAGCTGATGGATCCTGCCTCAGTCAGGTCTATCCTCTGCCTGTGGCACACAACACTTTAGCTACTCCTGTTGTTTTGAACTGAACTCTGTGGCCTTAGTGACAGGTATTGGGTGAAGTCCAAGGACTCCAGAGCCAGAGCAGGTGATTTTGTAACTTCAGAGTCTGTCAGTTAGAGAGTAACACTTTGGATGGTGTTTATTATTGTTCACAAGGAGCAGTAATTCTCACCTCTGCCTGACTTCCTTGTTTGGCTGTGCAAAACACATTCCTCTTCATCACCACACTGATGGATAAGTTTGAACTTTACACTGAGTTTCTTGTGTAAATGCTTAACTCTTGTCAAGTGCTTTCTCTTATGGTAAACTGAGGAGCAACAAAATGACTTCTCATGTTTTCTAATCTCCTCCAAATGTTTTATCTCAGACCTGTCTCAGCTCTTAGTTCCCCTTCTTGTAGACACAGCCAGCCTGCAAAATCTGTTATTCTCCTCTGGCAGTGAACCTTCATGCTGGGACTCTGTAACACTTGCTTGTTAATGGTTGATTAATGACTTGTAGATAATAGAGCTCCTATCTGAAGTTAGCAAACATCTGTGAAGGATTTATATGAATCCCCTCACCTCAGCAGCTGGCTCACCTCAGTTGTTTGTTAAAATTAATGAACAAGTGCAAAGTTTAAAAGGGCAGGAAATACTGAGAAGCACAAGTCAGTTTGTATTTTTATATCACTTTATATGTCAGGTGTCCTTGGTTTATATACAGGGCACTTTCATAAAATGTGGTGGCTTCTATTTTGGACACTTTGGGGCATTTTAAAGTTCATTAATGGTACTTATTCAAATAAACCATTGTGTCATCTGGACATGGCTATTTAGCATTCTAAGGATTAAGGGTTTTTAATGGTATTGGTACTGTAACTGTGATGGCACAAGGATGTAAAGGAGGTGAGATGATCTGGTTGGAAAATGCAGACACTTGTTTCTACCGTTGTCCCTTCCTTCAGTCCTGAAAGAGAAGCAAATTGGAAGGTCTTGTGTGCTTATGGAAGTTAAGCCTTCCTTACAAATCTTGCCATGTCAGTCATATAAGATACAAGATATTTGGCCTACAGGAGAATTCTGGGATGGCTGTATGGCACTGTGGTACACAGACATTCAAGCACGCTGAGGAACATAGTAAATAGTACAGAAATTATAGTGGAATAGTACAGAAATGAGAATGGAATAGTACAGATAGATATAGCGCAGATACATGTAGAGGAATTATAAGTGGATCCTTACATCCCAGAGGTGAAACTATGCAGACTGTTCATTGCCTCCTTTTTTTTCCTCTCTTTTCTGTACAGTTTCTCTTTCACAGAATCACAGAATTGTTCTGGTTGGAAAAGATCTTTAAGATTGAGTCCAACCATAACCTAACTCTACTGACCATTAATGTAACTCTAACAAATCCACTGCTTAAGCCATGCAGTGGAGCCAGCAGTGTGCCCAGGTGGCCAAGAAAGCCAATGGCATCCTGGCCTGTGTTAGAAATAGTGTGACCAGCAGAAGTAGAGAGGTGATTGTCCCCCTGTACTCAGCACTGGTGAGGCCACACCTGGAGTGTTGTGTCCAGTTTTGGGCACCTCAATTCAAGAGAGATCTCGAGGTGCTGGAGCGAGTACAGAGGAGGGCAACGAAGCCAGTGAAGGGCCTAGAGAATAAATCTTATGAAGAACGTTTGAAGGAGCTGGGGATGTTTAGTTTGAGAAAGAGGAGGCTGAGGGGAGACCTCATCAGTCTCTACAACTACCTGAAAGGTCATTGTAGAGAGGTTGGTGCTGGTCTCTTTTCACAGGTGATCAGTGACAGGACAAGAGGGAATGGTTTCAAGCTGCAACAGGGGAGGTTTAGATTGGACATTAGGAAATTTTTTTTCACAGAAAGAGAGGTCAGACACTGGAATAGGTTGCCCAGGGAGGTGGTTGAGTCACCATCCCTGGATGTGTTTAAGAGTCATTTGGATGTGGTGTTGGTAGATATGGTTTATGGTTTCGGGGAGAACTTTGTAGAGTAGGGATGATGGTTGGACTTGGTGATGCCAAGGGTCTTTTCCAACCTGAATAGTTCTGTGATTCTATGATTATAAGCACCCACACCTATATGTATCTGAAACACCACCTGGGGTAGTGATTCAACCACCTCCCTGGGCAGCCTGTTCCAGTGTTTCATTACATTTTCAGTGAGGAAATTCCTTTTAATATCCAATTTAAATGCCCTCTGGTGCAACTTGAGGCCACTTCCTCTCATCCTATCACTTGCTACTTGGGAGAAGAGACCAACCCCCACCTCGCTACAACCTCCTTTCAGGGAGTTGTAGGGAGTTGTAGGGAGTGAGAAGGTCTCCTCTCAGTCTCCTCACAAAACAGTGATGAATAGGCATCTAAGAACTGTTTGACATTGTCAGATATCCTCTTTGTAAGCACTTTGAGCAAAATTACTCTAGAAATACATTGAAAAAGTAAGCTTTTTATATTTTTCTTGGCTGATACTCAGATGCAGGAAAAATAAGTTTGATTTTTAACTGCATTAGTGTGTATGGAATCAACAAAGGTTTTGAGTTAGTTCTATTTGGCCCTGAACCTGTTCCACTGTTGTAAATACTGGTAAGGAAACAACTCTTTATTACAGCATGAAACACACTTATGATCTTATTTTGGTGTAAGCTAGAAGCAGGGTCTGTTGGTCGTTTTTTGTTTTTTTTTTAAGTGCAATTTAAAAAATATTTTATGAACAAATCTTAAAGGAATCTGGAAAGGAACTACCTAAAAAATCACCCTCGCCCAATTTTAGTATGTGATTTTTATGATTGAATAAGTTAAAGGTAAACACTTAGGATTTCACAAATTTCCAAAGTGCTTTTCCCCCTTCTGTATGTTGGAAGCAGTGTTGTGCCACTCACAGAGAGGCTGCTCTTCCTTCTCCCAATGCA